CAAAATGTTGAAGAGGTTTAGAGGGGTATTAGATTTCATCTGTTTTACTAAGAAGTGCTTTCTTTCTGCCTCTTTTTTTTTTTTGCCATGACTTTTTAGATTTATGTGCTGTACCACGCAGTAATGTTGGGTGGAAGGACTAATGTTGAGGTCCAGTTGCCAGAGGTTTTACAGGTTTCAGACTGTGTGCTTCAGAATACAGAATTTCATAATATAAATATTTGGTATGTGCTATGGGGTCCTTTTCTGACACAGAGTAAAATGATTGAAGCAAATGGTTTCTCCTTAACTATTTAAAGTACATCACTCCTAGTGTAACTGCTGTCTGGCTATGCAAAAATCATTTTCAAAAGAACATCTACTCACATCCATGTATGTAATCACAAAAGAACATAGCAAAAGGGGAAAAGATTTAGATGGGAATCCATGGCTATGGGAACATGGTGCATTATGCAGTAGAAATACTGTAGTACCTTAAGTTCTGTGTGGATAGGACTGGATTATAGGAACCCATATTCTTGCTGTCCCTATGTGGTAAACCATTTGAAAATAAGGTGCATCTCAACAAGATGTAATTTCTTGCAGCCCTGCTTTGAATCAGTGTGGATGGGAACTGCATAAACAAACATTATTATTATTGTTGATTGCACAGTCAGCCAGATGTTTAGACTGGATGTGGCATTTTTATCCACCCATCGAGTCCTTCCCAAGGACTTGGGATAGGCAGATGATGTTTGATGGTGTTAAAGGTATCATTGCAGGATATAAATTGTTCCAAGTAATGCTGCCATTTGCAATGGATTGATTGTGATTTTGTCAATGCTGAGTACTACTACTACTTAAACAAACTTGTAAGCTGCCTGACTCTCAATGACATAATGTACGGCAGTGTCAGAGTCTACACATCTTAAAGCTGCCAAGGTTGAGAAACACTGATCTACAGTGACATGATATACAATGCATTCGAAAGTATTCAGACCTCCTTCACTTTTTTCAATTTTGTTATGTTGCAG